CTTTGAATAGCTCCCTCTTTATGATGAAGTTTACCATGATCTGATATCCCTCCTCTAAAATTCATGCTCTACTCTTCAATTTGACAGCATCTCGCCCTCCGATTTCTGATCCGCTGTGTATAGGGCCCTAGGCTTGTATTGATTGGCTTCAGTTGCAGTATTTTAGGATAGGAATTAATTATATGACTTTATTTTTAGTTAACAATGGCTTAACCACGTTTAGGGATAGTATCAAAATAGTTGGAGAGGCTCTGGAACAAAAGAATCCTGAGAAAACCCATCAAAAACACGTTTTCGGCTTGGAACTGTGTGAGCCACCAAATTGTGGCTCGGCCTTGGGTTTTGGTTTGTTCCTATTCCGCCGTTACGCATATTACATTGTTTAGCTGACTTGTATGCTCCAATGATTCGCTTCATGTGTTTTGTTAACTTGAAGTTGACCAATGAGCGCGCGGGCCACTTGGAGCTGGCCGATGAGCGCGCGGGCCACTTGGAGCTGGCCGGTGAGCGCGCGGACCACTTGGAGCTCGTCAGTGAGTGCGCGGGTCACTTGGAGGTGGACGGTGAGCGTGTGGGCCACTTGCTTTGCCGTTCTGATGGCTTGTTGCTACGTCATTAACGGTTTTTCGCTTTGTTGTTTCGATGGTTTGTCACCAGCGGTTCGTCGCTTGATGGCTCGTTGTTTCGAACTGTGTTCGAGGATCTATATATAATTTTTAACGCCTACATTATTCTCCAACGAGCAGATAAGGGCATCATCTGATGCTCCTGAGGTGATGTTCGCTTCAGTCTTGGTCTCCTTATCTTTTTTGGGTTCCCTGCACTGATTCCCATAGTGCCCATACATGCCACAGTTCTAGCTATCAATCACTTTCTTGCTTCTACGATTTCTGGACTTTGACCTATCGTTCCTCGAATTAGCTTTTCCACGGCTATTCCTTATATTCATGTTTCTATTTCTGCCTCTGCTCTCAACATTCAGTCCCGACCCTGAACTAGAAACTCCTTCTTCATGCCTTCTAATCTCCTCGGTCATAACCATGTCAATAACCTCTTAAAACATCAGTTTCGATTTTTCAAAAGATCCACTAATCGAAATAACGGTGCCCTTCCAACTATCAGGCAACTGACCAAGTATTAAGAGGGTCAAAAGATCCACTAATCGAAATAACGGTGCCCTTCCAACTATCAGGCAACTGACCAAGTATTAAGAGGGCTTGAATTTCATCGAAATAACGGTGCCCTTCCAACTATCAGGCAACTGACCAAGTATTAAGAGGGCTTGAATTTCATCATCGAATTTAATGTTAACGGAGTTTAACTGACCCGTGATCACATTAAACTCGTTCAAGTGATCTTTGAATTTTTGATTCTCGGACATTCTCAAATTAAATAACTTCTTTATGAGATGTACCTTATTCACTGCAGAGGGTTATTCATACATACCGGATAAAGCAGCCATGAGATCCGCCGTCGAGTTCTGATTCTTGATGTTGAAGGCTACAAATCTGGACAAGGTCAACCTGATTGCTCTAAGGGCCTTCCGATTTAACAACTTCCACTCTACATCCTTCATATCCTCCGGCTTCTCTCCCAACGGAAAATACAGATCCTTCTGATAGAGGTAGTCCTCCATCTCCATCTTCCAGTACCCAAAGTTTGTCCCATCAAACTTCTCGATCTTCGACGTCTCCTTCTCAGATCTCATATCTAACCTCAAATCGCCTGCGCCGAACCTGGCCACTCTAATACCAGTTGTTAGGTTTTTTCTAACCCTTGTTGCAATTTGGAAATAGAGATGAGAGAGGAAAGAGAGGAAAAATAAATCACAGAACACACAGAATTTTCGTGGTTCACTTCTCAATGAGAGAAGCTACGTCCACAGCCACCGCAGGTAAAATTCCACTATGTTCTGAATAGTTTACAAGTTGCGCTCTAATCACCCTTTTATAGCTAGGGTATTAGTGCACCTTAATCACGAAGTTCGATCCGCCTAGTTGGGGTTCTGACGATTCGATCACTTAAGCGAATATGAAGCTACGGTGGAGCTTGGTAGAGAAAGATGTTTGTTATAGAAGATGAATTTGTTTTTCAACCGAGATTTTTTATGTTTTGTAAAACCCAATAAAATAAATGGTCGGGCATGATCTTTTATTTTCAGACAAGAAATATAATTTCTTATAAAATAAAGCAAAATAAACGCTTCTCATATATTGTTATTAGTTATTCGTGGAGAATCGTGCTAGTTAAGGTAGGTGAAGATCAGTATTAATTATCCTTAAACCATTGCCTTTAGTGCAATAGTTTGCTAAATTCTGTTTCTTTTATGTCTAATAAATAACGTGCAAGAAAAACGACTTCTTAGTAATAATTGTAAGTTGAAATTAATATGAAAGCTAAATTGGGGTTTCTTGATTTTGGTGATGGGCGCAAAATCGAGAGGTTCCTGAGGTTGTGGATAAACTAGTAGAAAAATTCATTGGGGACCCCAAATTATGGGACCTAAAGGGGGACAGGTGAGGTGTCAACCCCTGGGCGCATGATCTATTGTTCATGAACAGTAGATCATGCGCTCAGGGGTTGACAACTCACCTGTCCCCTTTAGGTCCCATGATTTGGGATCCCTATAGAACAACTCAAACTAGTAAGGGGTTATTTTGGTTGCTAGTTTTTTAGTGCAAGAGGATAGATGTTCATGTAATAATTATTAAACATCGGGTGAGGTGATACACAAGAGCTAATGTCGCAGTCTCTCACAACTTTCTTTCTTTTTGAACTGATTTTATTTGAAATTGCTGTAACAGTTAGTTCTAATCAATTGTACCATGGACAACTACTGTGCTCTTCAAATATTTTTATCTACAAGTAACTGATTTACCCATAATTCTATTCCTTCTAAAATGTTTATTCTTTATCATCGCAAAAATTCAAAGAAGGAAAGAATTAAGAACAAGGTCGAAAAATAGAGACCAGAGGAAGAAGCTGGAACGGAGACGGAGGAAAAGGAAGAGGAGGAAAAGAAGAAGACGAGAAGAGGCGGGATGAAGAATGAGGGTGGAGGTAGGGATGGAAGCAGGAGGAGGAGGATGGGAAAGAGAAGAATAAGATGATGGAGGTTGAGGTGAAGGAGGACGAGGAGAAGTGGATGGAGGCGGCAAAGGAGATAGGGAATAGGAGGATGGTGAAGAAGAGAGGAAGGTGGAGATGGAGAGGAGAGGTGGTGTGATAGGTAAAGATGGACAAACTAGAAAGCAACAAAAAAAGAGAAGGTAGAAGAAACGAAACTTAATTTGGTGATAAGACTTTCTTTGAACTTTTTTCTTTTTTGGGGGAACAAGTTCTAAAAGTTTTCTTCAAGGGGGTGAAAGTAATTTTCTCATATAAAAATCTATATTTGGTGCTCACCGTCTAAGTTTTACATGTATAATATTTTATGGCGAGTGATCCATAAGTTTTCTTTTCGACAAAATTGAGGGTAATTTTAGAAAATCTTTCTTAACGGTAGAGACGTCTCAGAAAATCTTTCTCACCTAGTTTAATCTGAGTAAATCTCTCTTAACTTTGGGATTGTTGTGCCCCTCAACTTTGAAAATTTGAGGAAACTCCTGTCAATTATAGGATGTCTCACCAAGACCACCATGCAGATGTTTATAGTTTTTTTCAAAAAATCCACTGACATCGTTATCGTAAAATACGAAATGACATAAATATTCTCTGGGGTAAACTTAAGGGCCCGTTTGGCAAATGGTTAATAAAGAGGGATTAAGGAGATGGATTAACATAGTTAGCTTATTTTAACCCTTCTATATTTTTTATATTTGGCAAATTATGAAGGGTTAACTCAATTTAATCCTTTTATAGGATTTTTATGTTTGGCGGGTTAAGAGCATCTACAACCATGCCCTCCAAATTTTACCCTCCAAAATGGAATATTCTAGGAATATTCCATTTTGGAGGGCGGAATTTGGAGAGTTGCTCTAACCCACACTCTCCAAATGTTTTCCTTTTTATTTTGTTTTGTCATAAAAGTCATATAAATTAATAATGTTAGATATAGTTTACATTAATAATTTTATTTTTAATAATTTATTTGAAAAAAAATTATAACATTATAAAGGTGTCGATGAGAGCTTTAAAATGAATCCAATATTAATAATTAATAATTTTATAATAATACTAAAATAAATTAAACTTAGTTTCATTTTAAAGATCTCAACGAGACCTTTCCAAATATATAATGATTTCAAATATTAGATTAATAAATTTAAAATTAAACATCTAATTTAAATTAATAAGAATGATGGGAAAGTGATAATTTTTAAGAAATTAAATAGTTAAAAATGGTAAAGTTGTGATTAATAAAACATGAATAGTATTTTGGAGAGACTCACCAAATTTTCTCTTCACCCTCCAAATTTGGAGGGTCAAATTTGAAGATCTCTAATTTGGAGAGTGGTTGAAGAGGTTCCACTCTAAAAAAATTATAACATTATAAAGGTGTCGATGAGAGCTTTAAAATGAATCCAATATTAATAATTAATAATTTTATAATAATACTAAAATAAATTAAACTTAGTTTCATTTTAAAGATCTCAACGAGACCTTTCCAAATATATAATGATTTCAAATATTAGATTAATAAATTTAAAATTAAACATCTAATTTAAATTAATAAGAATGATGGGAAAGTGATAATTTTTAAGAAATTAAATAGTTAAAAATGGTAAAGTTGTGATTAATAAAACATGAATAGTATTTTGGAGAGACTCACCAAATTTTCTCTTCACCCTCCAAATTTGGAGGGTCAAATTTGAAGATCTCTAATTTGGAGAGTGGTTGAAGAGGTTCCACTCTCCAAATTTAGAGATTTTGCTTTTTTAAAGGCCGGTTGGAGATGGCCTAAGAAGGAGAATTATATAGAACGCTCTCAAATCTGAGGGAATATTCACCCATATCAAAATAGCTCATTGTAGATTTTGGTTGAGGGGGATTTTCCAAAATTAAACCAAAAAAAGAACCCAGGTGGTCATGCGACATTTCAAATTGTAGAACACAAGAACATGCCTCGAGATGCGCTTAATTAATGCGATTGCAGTCACCAGCGGCACTTATTTAACACAAGCAGCAACAAACATATCTAGAGTACGCGGAGACGCCTAAATTCAAAGGGAGCATACAACTAACAGATGCCCCTGCATCAACGAAGACAACTTCGACAAGAGAGCTACGAACGGTTGCGGAACCCAGTACTTCACTTGCATGGTGGAAGTGGCTTTCCGCAGAGACACTTGTTATGGAAGTAATTCCAGATGGGGAACTTCTGGGTCACAACCCCTTCAGGTATCTTTCCACATAGCAAATTGTAGCTAACGTTAAACCTCTCCAGCCCAAACTCAGTCACCTCGTTGATCTGTGCTGGGATCGAACCATAAATGTAATTATTATTCAGCTCCAACTGCGTCAATCTCACCGGGAAAGTAATATGAGACATGTCAAACTTGATCAAATTATGCTGCAGATGGATCTCAGTAGCAGGCGTCGACGCTCCGAAGAGGAACGAAGCGTCCCCGCTGAGCCTATTGAAAGAGAGATCCAGCAAGCTCCATCCCAGTCCACCAAGGGACTTCGGTATTGGGCCTGATAGCATGTTATGCTGCAGAAAAATGTTGCCATCGCCGAACGAGGAGAAATCAGGAATCGGCCCTGTTAGCTGGTTGTGACTGAGGATTAAAGCTCCAACCCCCCGGAGCTTGGGAATGGACGGAGGAATAGAGCCAGAGAATTTGTTGTAGGAAAGGTCGAGGAAAGTGAGGGAACTGATTTCAGAGAGGAAAGCAGGGATCTGGCCAGAGAGAGAGTTTCGACTTAGGTCAAGGAAGACGAGTCTTTTGAGATTGGTGAAGGAGGAGGGGATGTTGCCTATGAGTTTGGGCATGTTGGTCATCGTAAGGCTCTCCAGTAAGGGGAAGTCGCCGATGGCGGCCGGAATTGTGCCGGAGATGTTAAGCTTGTCGAAGTAGAGGTTTCTGACGCGGTTGGAGTTCATGTAGCAGTCGACGCCAGCCCAGTCGCAGCAGGCGACGCCGGGGGCGCGCCAGGAAGAGAGGGCGGCGGGGCTGCCGAAATGTGAGTAGATTGCGAGGAGGACTTTGCGGTCTCGGGTGCTGCACTTGGAGGCAGAGGTTGGGAGGGAGGAGGAGAAGAGGAGGAGGAGGATGGAGAGGAACGAAAGAGTGAGTTTGGTATCCATGTTGTCTTTGGATTTGGTTTCGGTTGATTGCTGGGTTGGATTGAGGGTTGGATTTATGGAGCACATTTTTTTAGACACTTGGACATAGCCGTGCCATTTGAAAGGGTAAGAGAGCTTCCACATCCTTGCTGGGTGTGAAGAACTTTTACAACTCATTTATCATCTCTCTTCTCTGGTGGACCTCATCAATGATATTTATTATACATATTATGAGCAAGACTTTTATCAACTTAAGTTGATGTCCACCAAAGTTTGTACCCACACATTTTTTAATATAAAACACCTTTTTATATAATACAAGGATCTCTAGGCAATATGAGTGGTTGAAAACTTTGGTGGACACACTATTCCCTATCCACTTAAGTTGACACAAGTTTTCACCTATATATTATATGATTTTTTTTTAAATTATGGAACTTACTGAATGAGTCAATATTATTATTCCACAAGAGCAAATATAGAAGTTCTATATAATCAAAGATGTAGAGAATATCCTTGCTCATGCGAAAGTGAAAGTTTGGGTTTGGTGATTGTATGTGATAGAAAACTAGGGAAGGAAAGTGTGTGAGTTTGGTTGGTTATGAATTGAGTCATAAATGTGTGGGCATATTTTCGCCCATTTGTCATTTATGACCCATGTAACGTTTGTTAAATGGTCATTCCTCATTCGTTCATTTATTAAATGGCGGCCAAATTGCTCATTTTTCATTTTAAAAACTTCAAGAGACTATTTGCTAAGTTTCAGGAGGCTATTTGCAAAGTTTTGGGAGGTTTTTTCTTGCAAAACTTCAGGGGTTTGATTTTGCAAATTTTGGGGGATTATTTGCAAATATTTTTGTGGGCTATTTGGAACATGTTTGGTATTTTCGCAAAGTTTTGTGGGCTTTTGTAAAGTTTGGGGGCTATGTCTAAAGTTTTGGGGTCTATTTGCAATGTTCAGGTGCTTTTTGCAAAGTTTTGGGGGCTTTTTGCAAAGCTTCGGAAATTTTTTTCTATCTTTTAACCCGTAATCAAATTTCACTCATAAAATCCAAACAAATTCAAAGAACGGGAAGTTGTAAGTTAAAATTGACAATTGAGGGGTGCATCCAATTCACTTCTTCATTTAACAACATGTTTTCTTAAGGAGTTTCCCTTTCTTCTCAATTAGGAATTCAAACTTCGATCCCCCTGCCAGAGCCTCAATCTCTTCCTTCACATCGTCGGAGCTGCCGTTGGATAGGGAGAAAAGATAACTAAGATTTCAAATCATGTGATTTAGAGAAAGGAGAGAGTTAACTAGCTATGATTTCAAATCATGTGATTTAGAGAAGGTAGAAACAGCGAAAACATTGGAGAAGATCAGGAATTTTGATGCAGACAGGCATTTGGGTGTTTGCCAGTCGACCACGAGGTTTGGCGCGGTTGATCGCAAACGTGCACGACTACATGGTGTTTTTTGGTTTTCTGGCCAGTCGATCGCGACGTCAAGTGCGGTCGACCGTGGACCCTGTAATGCATTTTTTGGTTTCTGTCGTTCTGTGCGGTCGACCACGATGATTTCGACGGTCGATCGCCAGTCGGGTTTGGTCCTAATTGCGGTTTTCTGTTCTGTTTGGGATTTCTATTTGATATAAATAGTAACCACGTTTTAGGATTTCATTGGAGCAGTCAAGGGTTTGTTTTAAGCATAGAAAAGAGAGATCTTTCTGAGCTATTGGTTAGGGTAATTGTTTGAGAGATTTTCCGTTCTCTGTTCGCTTCGAAATATCGGGGGAGAAATAAAAGGGGTGGGACTGTGGGGGACATGCGGCCAGAGGGGTTACGAATATTAAAAAAAATAGATTTTCTTGCCTTGGGCAGATGCTCAGGGGAAGCTCTACACAACTATACGCCCCTCCAGATACGGTTATAGATATTTCGTCGGATACGGATATCGTTTAGCCGCCTGATCAGAACTCGTGTCGTGGAGGCATATACAGTGATTTTTTGTGGAGATAAGATATAAAAAGGCGAGGGACAGTCAGTAGCACTAGGAGTTGGTCCTACCTCGATAATTGTTGGTATCTTTCTTGTTTAAGGGGCTGTTTGGTTGTTGTTGGTAAAGTTGTGTATTTATGACACAACTTGGAAAGTTGTTGTCCACCTCATCAATTTCACTTTTATACTTTTCTTTGTTTGTTTTTTATTCCATTGGAATCATAAAACACTTGTTTGGTTTGCAAAATAAAACTTTAATTGTTTGTTTGGAAAGTGTAAAAAGTGGTCCATACTCAAATGATCATATTGGTTGGAATTATTTTTTATTATTTTTTCCTAACTTCAATGTTAGCTTTCTCCTAAAATCATGTCTTTTTTTCATGAAATCACTTTACAAGCCACATCAGCATATGAAATCACTTTACACTATTTTCACAACTACAAACAAACAATTGAAAGTGATGAAAGCTAACATTGAGACCCACTTTTTTACACTTTACATCCTTTTACATGGTAAAAACATACAACCAAACAGCCCCTAAAAGTCACTGGCTCAGCAAAGAACAAAAGAAGGAAACATCATATCTTTTCATTAGATTTTTTGAGATACTGATGTCCTTTTGTCTTCGAGCAATAATGGCATGAGCTAAATAAAGGAGGGGTCTCTAAAAGCATGGAGTTTTATTGGAAACTGCCGACCCTACCACGTCGAAAATATTTTCTTCATGTTTGGCATGACCCTAAATAAGGGAGCTGTTTTTTTTAATTTGCTGCAGAAGTCTATTGGGAGGGAGGGGCGATTTTTTTATTTTTACTGAGGATTTGAAGTCGGGTATGTATAAGGTGATTTGAGGGTGGATCCTATGCCAAACTGGTGTCACATGACACCAGTTTGGTACAAGTGGATCCGCCCTTGATATTGGTTGGATCGATCAAAGAAACTCTCCCTAAATAATGTAGTAATTTTCTCATGCATGTGGTGATGCAGACATGATATAATGTACATCGTTATGCGCAACTAAAAAAATATGGGTGTTGCTACGGGGACCCAAATAGGGGACCTAATGTATGGAACAATTGAGGTTTCACTATCCGATTGCATGATGCACTATTTATAAACAGTGCATCATGTAACAGGATGGTGACACATCAACTGTCATATGTCTTAGGTTCCCTATTTGGGTCCCTGAGGCATTAATGAAAAAATATGTTAACCAACTAATAACTAAAATACTTGTGTGTATAAAAAACAGGCACATATTTGGACCTTTGTTAAATAATCTATGTTTGTAAATATTATAGTATTTGCAATATAAGGCACAAAGGCACAAACGAAGAGAGTAAGTTACTTACTGTTTCCGAAGGTACTCACTCTATAGCACTGTACCTCTATTGAGGCAGAACTTTTTACTTACAATGCTTAGGGCTTGTTTGGATTGGTTTTTTGGATGTGTAATTAAAATGGGGGAAAGCTGTCAAAAAGCTGATATTTTTGACAGCTTTCCCCCTTTTACCCATCCAAAAACCAGAACCAAACAGGATCTTAACGTATTTGCCAGTTTTATAAGATATCTCTTCCAACGTTTTCAGTGCTGGCACTGCTGAGAAATTAAGGGGCTGTTTGTTTTACTAAAAAAAGAGGGAAATCAAAGAAATGGAAAACTATTAAAATGAAGAATTGGTTTGGGAGTGTTTGGTTGGCTAAAAAAAGAAGGAAATCAAAAAAATGGAGATGAAATAATGTTAGTTGTCAAATTATTATTGGATGATGTGAGTGATTTTTTAAGAAAACTAGTTTTGATGTTGTTTGGTTGGCGAAAAAATAAGGAAATAAATTATAAGAAACTTATTTCCTGTAGTTTTGTTGTTTTCTTTTGTTTGGTTCATTCTTAAAAATAAGAAATGAAATGAGATGAGGTGAGTTGTCATTGTATTATTGGGTGATGTGAAGAAAGATTAAGAAAAGTGTTTTCATAACTTTTTGGGATGAAAATGGAGAAATGAAATGTTAATGAGATGAGGTGAATTGTTATAATATTTTATTGGATGATGTGAGTGATTTGAAATGATGAAAAGAGATGAGTTGAGTGATGTTTGGATGAAAATAATATTTTATTAGATGTGGTGGATGAGTTGTTAGATGAAAATAATATTTTATTAGATGTGGTGGATGAGTGGTTAGATGGAAATAATATTTTATTAGATGAAGTGGGTGAGTTTTAGGGATGGAAATGGAGGAAATAGTATTTTTTGAGATTTTCATGTTTTCCATTTCCATTTCTTGGTTTTCTTGGTTTTTAGGAAACCAAACAAACAGGGGCCCTTAAGTTGAAATGATTGAGTTTCTCTTTTATTATTTTTAATTTAAGCATGATAGCACTTGTTAAATTTAAACATATATATGAGAAATATTAGATTGTAATTCAAAATATCAAAATAATGATGATATCTTTAAGAGGTGATGGGACAGATGATACTAGAATGATGACAACGTTAATTTAAAAGGTCTGACGTACGCAACCAATTTGCAGTCATTTATCGACCAAATCGAATGTAACTTTAAAAATTCTTTAGTATCATCATCGTTCATTTTGATAATATATTAAAAATTTTGTAGAACACATATTTCTCAGCATTTTGCAAGCATGCATATGCTAAGTAAAGTTCTTTTATGCTTCAATGATATGCATAAATCTCAAATATTTGCGTCTCTCCTCTAGTGTCTCTTGCAGATATATTTTATGTCGCCCAGATGTGGAGTGTTATCTAAATGGGCTTTATGCTTATATCAAAATATCTAATTGAGAATAAAATATGAAAAGGTTGAAAAATCACATGTGACCGCGAATTTCCTAAGATCCAATTTGATATAAGGCTCTACCTAGGATTATAGTCCTAAAATCATCAAGAGGAATGAGTTTAAGCCCGTAATAGTGGTCACTAACAGCACGAACCTAACATTTTAATTGACAAGCTATTCCAATGAAAAAGGTTCAAGGTGGTGAAAACAATCGGAACTAGTGATTCTTGTATGGAGCACTGACTTTTAGAGTTCACTCTTTAGTATTAGAGCTTCTCCAACCGTTCCGCAAAACTCCATTTTGGAGTCGGTTCCGTCTCCAACCGTTCCGCAAAAAATGCAGCCCAGCTGCAAAAATCAAATTGTTGCTGCAAATATGCCGCCTCGAGTCTAAATTTGAAG